TAAGCATCATCACAATCAGTATTGCAAGTGCCACCATCAGCATCATCAGAATCATCATCATCAGCAGCATCATTATCATCAGCATCGTCGTCGTCGTACTCATCCTCGTCGTCGTCCTCCTCATCCTCATCCTCATCCTCATCCTCCTTCTCCTCTGCTACCCCCCCTGTTTTTTTCATCCCCTCCCCGCGACCCATACTCCTTCACCAGGACGAGGGAAGAGGGACTGGCCCTGCCTGAATCCCAGCTCCCCAGCATAGCCCCAGCGAGCGCAACCAGAGAGGAACCACGAAGCGAGCCCGCGCGGGCGCGAGCTGAGCAGGAGGCCTATCTCGTCCGGCCACACCAGGTGCAACAGGCCATCCTGGCACCCGCGCTCTTGCAGGCAGGCCTCCGCACGCACACACAGGCACACACACACACACACACAACCCACAACTGGGCACACACGTGCGCGTGTATCTGGAAATGCATGGAACCGCAGATGGTTTGTTTTGGAGGGAGACAACTAACGTGGGATAAGGCGACCCCAATCCCCGACGTTGGGGGGGGTTCGACTGGGCCGAAGAGTTCGGGCCCAACCCTGGGATACACAATGTGGGGGGCGTCCATCATCGATAATAGAGGTGCGTCCGATTAGGCCCCCTGGGGTGCATCCCCGAGTTCCCCCCCATTCTCTAAGCGGCTTGATTTTTCGTGGGAAAGTCGGGGGTTGAGACGGGAGCGGACAACATGCTTCAAGAACCAGCGTCAAAACTCGGATGCCGCCACGCACCGAAGGCCAGGTTCACAAACATCCTGCCTCGGCGGGGGACTACCGGCACCAACGAGAGAATGGTTCCGCTTGAAAGCCGTCGTCTTCCTCCCCCCTTGGGTGGGACAGACGCGCATTACGACGAGGGAAAGGAAGAGGAGGAGGAGGAGAACAACGAGGAGAAGGACGACGAGGAGGAGGAGAAGGGAGAGAATGCAGCGTGGTTGCCCACAACGGCTGGCCCGCGTCTCGATTGCTTTGAATCTTGGCCAGGGCCCGAAGTAAAAAATCACCAGCAAGAGAAGAACATGAAGGAAGAAGGCAAGAGACGCGGAAGACGACAAAGAGAATGAAGAGTAGGCAGCGTGGTTGCCAAAAACGGCCGTGACGCGCATCGGCTGCTGAAAACCCCAGCCCACGCCAACAGGCAACAAACACCAGCCACTGGAAGAATGCGACATGATAAAAAATGCCACAAAGTCATATCAACAATCAGTTTCCCGTGCAAGGCACTAGAAGCGCTATGAACTGCGGAAGCAAAGAGTTTCGAGAGACGTCACGAAAAAGGCAAGGGAGAAAAGGGAGGGATCCAAAAGAAGGGAAGAGAGGGGAGGGGAGGAGACAAACCAGCACCTCGACAGCGGCCATGTCATGCTCGCGAGGACTCGAAAACAATTGCTGCCAATGGCGGGTGCGCCGCGCAGGCTTCTCGACCATACTTCCACCAGGCGCCAAGTGCTTACAGACACACACACACACACACACACACACACACACACACACACACACACACACACACAAACACGTGTAAACACACATGGGCCGCAACCGCATCTGCATCCACATGTCTCCAAAGTAACAAACTAATGATGGACAGGATTGTCTGGCAGCGTACGGAGAAAGATGACCAGGAGCCAGAGGGAGCGAGGAGAGGAAAAGGAGGAGGAGGAGGAGGAGAGGAGGAGGAGGAGGGGGAGGAGGAGGAGGAGGAGGAGGGAGAAAGGAGGAGGTGGGCCCAGGCCCCTGCATCCTCGGCTCTCAGGCACGCCTTCGCCTTCCCGAGCACGTTCAGCAAGAAGTGGTGCGTCCTCGCTCTCTCCAAGGGGAGAAGGGAGGGAGGAATGGGAGAAGGGAGGGGATGAGAGATGAGGAGGAGGAGGAGGAGGAGGAGAAGGAGGAGGAGGAGGAGGAGGAGGAGGAGGAAGAGGAGGAGGAGGAGAGCAGGAGGGGGGGAGGAAGAGGGGAAGAGGAGGAGGAGGAGAGGAGGAGGAGCAGGGGGAGAAGGAGGAGGAGGAATGAGGAGGAAGATGAGGAGGAGGAGGAGGAGGAGGAGGAGGAGGAGGAGGAGGAGGAGGAGAGGGGGAGGAGGAGGGAAGGAGGAAGGAGGAGGGGAGGGAGGGGAGGAGAGGGACGGGTCTGAGAGAAGACAAGGCAGGAGAGGAGACCGAGGGGAGAGCAGGGGATTTGGAAGCCAGGACGCTCTCATCACGCACTCCTTGGATAAAACTGACCAGGTCGAAAGCGAAGGTTTCCTAAGCCTGGTCGCTGAGGTACGAAACCAATGAAACGTAAACCTGTGCCAGACCCTCACTCGTTAGTCGAGTGTGATGAGGCTGCCTCTGAAACACGCCGCGATAAGGCAAGATTCTGAGGAACAGGCTGAGGATGCGCTCCGACCTCGAAAGAGAAACCTGCAGCCGCGCACGAGAAAGCTGCGTCAACGGTAGACTGCATGAGTCCGCTCATCAAAAAAGTGTGCCACAATTCAGCGCACGAGCGGTTGCGACTCCGCATCAGGTGGACACGCTGAGCACAATGCCTGAGCGGACCTGTTCTTCGGGGGACCTGGTCGAGCAGCAAAAATAGATTTCATAGGGGAGCCCAGCAAGAGGAAGGAGGAAGAGATGGAGAAGGAGAGACAAGGCGGAGGATGAGAGGGAGGAAAAAGGACAAGCTTCGCCTGACCACTACACCCTCAGGAGCCTACACGTTTAGGCGCGCCGAGACAAGTCCGCACGTAAGGGGCCTGTACGCAAAAACCGATTGGTCGCATCACAACGGGAAAAATGATTTCCTTTCATCGCACATGGCGCCATATAGCTCAACGTCTGGCCCTCAGGCCGTACTCTTCAACTAAAAAATATAACAAAAGAAGCAAGGTCAGCCGGCACCTCAACACCCCCGCCCACACGGGGACCCACACCCCCGCCCACGCGGGGACACATAAAGGAGGTGGACGGGTGTTCCGCGCGCATGCGGTCACGATCAACACAGCGGAGCTGGTTGGCGAAATTCCGGCATAAAGCAGGCGCCGGTCCATAACTATGTCTACATTAGCTGCAAGCGCACTGCAACACTGGGTTGCCAATCCAAGCCACACGCGACCTTGATATGAGGATCACTCGGCGAGAGCTCGGGTCAACTCCACGGCTTGCTGGAAAACTGTGCAGTGACAAGCCCACTGAGCGTGATCGCAGTACCCAAAAGGACCTGGGAAAACACAAGACCGCTTTCAGCAGCCCTACGGGCTGTAGTGAGGGGGGGTAACTTCTGAGGCAAACAGCTTTCAGGGCCCTCTGCATTGATCAACTTCACGCAGGGTCAGCCATGCACGATGGGTAACTCTCTCGGCGTGTCGATACCCGACCATCCTTACTAAGCATGGCGATCCAACATACCAAGTTCCAAGGGGCGACAAAGCGGGGGGACTCTCAAAAGCTGGCACCATAGTCTCTATGTGCGAATTGACCAATGTACCACACCACCATGCCTGGGAAACAGCAGCCGCCCTGAAAACATGAAGGTGGGCAGCGTCGGATCGCTACTGGGAGGGCGTGCTTGGTTAGCCATGCCCGTGGCGCCACGTGCGGGCAAGGCGACGGCGCTGAACACGCCAAAGCAAGGATAAGCGCTGCTGGCGCGCAACTGTGCGCATCGGCGTGCGACGGTCTCTTCCTCCTCCTCCTCCTCCGCCTCATCCTCCTCCACCTCCTCCTTTTCGTCCTCCGCCTCCTCCTCACTATCCTCCTCCTTGTCCTCCTCCTCCACTACTCCTCCACTCCTCATCAGTTTCCTTCTCCTCCTGATCACCATCTACCACCACCACCATCACAATCACCATCACCATCATCATCATCATCATCATCATCATCACCATCACCATCACCATCACCATCATCATCACCATCACCATCACCATCACCATCACCATCAACATCAACATCACCATCATCATCACCATCATCATCATCATCATCAGCAGCAGCATCAGCATCATCATCATCATCATCATCATCATCATCATCATCATCATCATCATCATCATCATCATCATCATCATCATCATCATCATCATCATCATCATCATCATCATCATCATCATCATCATCATCATCATCATCATCATCATCATCATCATCATCATCATCATCATCATCATCATCATCATCATCATCATCATCATCATCATCATCATCATCATCATCATCATCATTATCGTCACCATCATTATCATCATCATTCCCCTCCAACTCCTCCTCATTCGCCACCTCCTCCTCCTCCTCATCCTCCTCGTCCACCTCCTCCCCCTCCTCCTCCTCCTCCCATCCTCCTCCCACTCCTCCTCATTCTCTTGCACCTCCGTCTCCTCCTCCTCCTCCTCCTCCTCCTCCTCCTCCGTCTGAGCCGATCAAAACTATTCAAAATCAGCTTACGAGCCCCTCCCAAGATCCATGCTAGCAAGTGTTCCAACCCTGGATCAACTGCCGACGGCCCATGGGCCCGAAAAGAGGCCCCGAATGCCAAAACCGATAAACAAAAACCTCCTTGAATCGTGCACCGATATAGGACGTGCGGGTGTGTATATATATATATATATACACACATATATATATACATGTATATTAATATGCGTATGTTTGTATGTATGGATGGATGGGTGGATGGACGGATGCGTGTATGTATGTGTGTGTATTTATGTATGCACGTATGTTTGTATGTATGCGTGTATGGGTGTGCCTGTATGTACGTATGTATGTATATAGTTATGCGTGTGCGTATGTATGTGTATGTATGTATGTGTGAATATGTGTGTATGTGTGCATGCATGTCTGTATGTGTGCATGTATGTGTGTAGGTACGTATGCATGTATGTGTATAGGGATGTGCGTGCGTATGGGTAGGTGTATGTATGTATGTATGTGTGCGTGTATGTATGTATGCATGTATGCATGTGTGTTTGTATGTGTATGTATGCGTGTGAGAGTGAATGTGTATATATGTATGGATGCAGGTATGGGTGTAGGTTGTGCATGTGTGTTTGTATGTATGAATGTGTGTATGGATGAGTGAGTGTATGTATGCATGTATGTGGATGTGTGTGTGGATGTATGTATGTATATAGTTATGTGTGTATGTATGTATGTGTGCATGCGTGTATGTATATATGTATGTGTGTGGATGTATGTATGGATATGCGTATGTGTGTCTGTATGTGTGAATGTGTGTATACATGCCTGTATGCATGTATGATTGTGTCTGGTGTAGGCATGAATGTATATAAATGTACGTGTGTATGTATGTATGTGTATGCATGTGTGCATGACTGATTGCATGCGCATATGTATGTTTTCCCCACGCAACAATGGTAATGAAGAGTTAACAACCGATGACATCCACCAATGACCACGGTCGCCAGTCGCAGAAAGTATGTCCTGCGAACGTGGCCGAAACTCGGGGCGGAAATTGGGGCGGTTGCTCGCCAGAACGGAAGAAGGAAAGGAGGAGAGGAGGAGGGGAAGGAGACGAGGAGAGGAAGGAGCAGCTACGGGGACCAGCCTCAAAGCGAGGATAGGCCGGTACATCCAAAATCGGTATATAAACTTCAAATTCAACATCTAGCAGGCTGTGTGCATATATCCCCCAAGGCCCAAGCGGCCAGCGATATCCCTCACAAACGAATCCCCACGGCACCAAGTGAGGCACAGCGCTAGCTGGCCGACCTTGTGCGGTTCTGCGGTAGTGAACTAAACGTAGACAGGAGCAGCGGGGCGGCGGCGGCAGCGGGGGAAGCAAGAAGAGGAGGAGCGAGGGACTACTGCATCGGAGCCCAGGCGCGAGCGACGCAGGCCGTCGCAGCGCCATGTCCGCGAACAATCTCTTTGGCCGTATGGGCAAGAGCCGGCCAAGCGAGCGGGCCGACGCCTCCCGGAGAGTGCCTGTGGCGGCAATGTGCAATGTACACGGTCGCGAGGCGGATGCTCTTCCTCACCAGCAGATCGCGAACTCCCGTGGAATAGCGTGGCATCAAGATCAGAAAGTCCTCCATTGCTCCCGGGCCCACCGGCGCGTCGAGGTGGAGGAAGCGGGCGCCGAACTCGCGGACGACCGGGCAGCTGGCGTAGTGCTCGATGCTGTCCTCGCACTGGCACCCAAAGATGCATCGACCTTGCTCTTGAAATCGGCGGCGCGTGACCCAACCATTCCACCATGCGCGCAGGACTGCGGCCCGCGCCCGCGCCGGGAGGTAAGAGCTCAAAGACGGCAACACCAGCAGCGCACGATCAGCGCGGACGCGTTCGAATAAATTCATATCATACCGTGCCAATCGCCGCCGCATGAATACCTCAAGGGTGGCACGGGTCGGAGGTTCAACAATTGCCCTGCATGTCCTCTGCCACTGGCGTCTGAGTGTGATGATCTCCTCCGGGGTACCAGAACCAGCACGCCCTAGGACGCGCTCTTGGATCCGTTCGGTCCCGAAGCCGGCCTCCGTGAAGTGATTGACGGCAGAGTCCAACTGAAGAACGAAAGCTGATGCAAACCAGGACGCCATCACGTGCAGGCACTCCAAGTGGTTCGATCGAGCGGCAGCTGCGCGGAGCTCCCTCGCGCGGGTGCGGATCGCGAGGCCGCCATGGAGCCTGTTCTCGAACGTGGCGACCCGGTACTTGGCTGCGAGCGCGTACGCGTCGAGGTCAACCAGTCCGCCCTGGAAGCCGAGATGCGGTAGGGCCCGCAGGGCGTTGACCGTGGCCCAACACCGCGGACCTGGGAACAGCTTGGAGGCCGCGGTCTGCTCGAAGCGGGCCCATTCGGGCGGAGGGGCGTCCAGCTGGGCGACGAAGAGTACGGTGGAGAAGATGTACGTGCGGTACGCTAGCAAAGTTAGCTGTAGTCCACAGCCAACTTTTCCCCATGCAGCGGCGCGCTGCCGGTATTTCTCTAGCGGCTTGTCCCAGGAGGTCGTGCCGCGGCCAGGCCCCAGAACGAAGCCGAGGTACTCTGCCGAGGTACTCTGCCGAGGTCGCGACGCGGATCCCCCCCCAGGACGGTGCTGCCCTCGCCAACCGGCCCCGAAAGGCGTCGAGGGGCTCCAAGTGGAGCGGGATGATCGTGGTCTTCCCCAGGTGCAAGTGCAGGCCGTACGCCCTCGCGGCGGTACAAGAGCACGCTGTCGCTCTGGCGAGGGACCAGGCCGTCCGGGAGCTCACCGCGCTGCGGGACGATCTCCCGAACCTCTCTGATGCGGAAGCGACGGCTCGCCGGGCTCGGAACTCCAGATTGTTGAGCCGCCTGGTTCCTGGGCGAGGGAAGTTCCTGAGGGCCACCCGGAGCCTCAGGGGAGACATTCACACATCTCCAGACGCCATGGCAGCCGATCTCCGCGAGCATTGGGCCAAGGTGTTCGAGGCGCGCCCGACGGACTCTGCACTTCGCGCGAGGTGGCTTGCTGAAGACTTGCCTGCAAGTTCGCGGTCGCTCCCTCCTCCCTCGTCCTCGAGGTGGGTCCCATCGCGTCGGGACGTTCGGGAGGCGATTGCCCATTCAGGCTCGTCTACTCCTGGCCCGGACGGGATCCCCGCAGCCGTGTGGCGGGCCCTCGGCCCGCTCGCTGAGCAGGTCCTGCATGGAGCACTCCAGGGTATGTCGCGGCCTGGTGGCCTGACCGTCTTGGAGCGGGACTACGGCTCGTTCAACGAGTCGCTGGTTTTCTTCATCCCCAAGAAGTGTCTGGCTTCGACGATCGATGGGGGGAGTTTTACGACCCGGAGCACACTCGGCCGATCACGGTCACGAATTTCGACAACCGCATCCTCGCCAGCTCAGTGCGTCGGCGGATTGAGCCAATATTGGCGAAATGGGTTTCTTCACAGCAACGCGGCTTCATCGGCGGGCGGTCGATGTTGGCGAACGTGATCGACATCGACCTGGAGATGCAGCGCGCCGCACTTGAGCAGGACGATGGTTTCGCCGTCATGTTTGATTTCAAGGCGGCTTTCCCGAGCGTGGACCATAGCTTCATGTTGGACTTGTTTGAGCACCTGGGGCTCCCTGACTGCATCTTGGGATGTGTGCGGGCACTCTATTTCCAGAACCACTGCCAGGTGGTCGCCGGAGGGGCACGCCACGACGGGTTCGACATCGCGGCCGGTATCCGACGGGGTGTCCGCTCTCGCCGCTGCTATTCGCGGTGGCGGCGGACCTCCTTCTCCGACGCTTACGTCGCCTCATGCCCACGGCCGAGTTGCGAGCGTATGCGGACGACCTGGCCTTGATCTCCCGTTCTGGCGTCGGAGACGCGCGCGTTTTGGAGCAGATCTTTGAGGAATACGCCGTTGTCTCCGGCCTGCACTTGCACCTGGGGAAGACCACGATCATCCCGCATGCGCATATGTGTGTATGTATGTATGTGTATGTATGACTGTATGCCTGGATGTACGTATGTATGTGTATGTACGCATGAATATGTGAATGCATGTATGCATGAATGTATGTATGTAGGTGAATGTGTCTGTGTGTAATTATGTACGTATGTGTGTATGTATGTGTGAATGTAGGTGTGCATGTATGTGTGCATGCATGTATGTATAAAAGTAAGCATGGATGTGTGTACGGTTGTGTGTATGTATATATGTTTATATGTATGTGTGTATGTACGTGTGTATGTGTGTATGTATGTATACATGTATGCATGTATGGATGAATGTAGCTATGTATAGATGTGTGTATGTTTGTATGGCTTGATGTATATATGTGTGTTTGCGTGTATGTGTGTAGCTGTGCATGTACGTGTGCATGTATGTGTACATGCATGTATGTATGTATGTACGTATGTATGTACCGGATGCCCCAGCTGACATGACAGGAGTCGGCGGCGCGCCCAGGGGGGAAGGCAGTTCGGGATCGTCCAACGCTCTCTCGGAATCTCGGGGGCTCACCAGCTTCGAGACGTGTTCCAGCAAACGCGCCTCGTTGACAGCGCTCCTGGGCTGCCCAGACGGTCCCGACAGGCCGCCGGAGGCCCGAGATGTGGCCCAAAAACCACGAGCAGAGGGGGCAGGCCTTCTCAGACGGCGGCGGGGCTTCTCGGAAGGCCTGCATCCTTCTGAGAAGCCGCCCCTGTCTTCGGGGAAGGCTTAGAAGGCTTCTCAGAATGCAAAAGGCCCTCAGAGCCTTCTGAGAAGGCCCGCCTCCTCTGCTGGTGGTTTTTGGGCCATACCTCGGGCCTCCGGCGGCCGTTCGGGACCGTCTGGGCACCCCAGGAACGCTCTCAGCGAGGCGCATTTGCTGGAACACGTCTCGAGGTTCTGTCCGAAGCGGGGAGGGTCGAAGTCCTGGTCTTGCCCCGCTGGGGCGGGACGCACGTGCTAGCGCTCGTGGCCGGGCGACTGTTGGCGATCTCCGTCGCCGACATAATCGGTTCCGCCTCGCCTCCGGCGGGGGGGCGACTCGGGGTCGCCGCGGCAGAGCGGGGCGAGCCAGGCGCCCCAGGGAAGCTCTCGCAGAGGCGCGCAGCAGAGTAGATAGGACCCTCCTGGGAAGATATGTCGACACCGGCCCCTGTGGTACGGAGCCCCCTGCAGAGGGGTCTCTTGTCCGTCGGGGGGGCACCCAGGGGTCGCCGCAGCGGGCCCTTCAGCAGCTCCACGTTCCCGCCGCAGCCGCAGTCTGGGGCCGGCGGAATCCAGCGGTGGGCTGGAGGCGGCAGGGCTGGGGGGGCACCGAACAGGTGTACCATCGGTGGAATCGAGAGAAGCCCTCCCTGCGGCCCGGGCGCAGTCCCACGGGCGACGCACCCCGGCGCACGGAGGGCCTTCTGGGGCCTGGGCAGGCGCGTCACCAACGAGGTCCTCGGATTCACCACGAGGGGGGAAATGAAGGATCCCCGGGGCCCCTCCATCGCGGGTTCTGTCCGAGGCGGGAGTGCCGAAGTCCCGGCCTGGCCCCACAGGGGCTGAGGGGATC